ACTGGGCCTTGCCTGGTCTGCCTGACTCTGCCATGGGCTGCAGGCTCCTCTGCTGTGTGGCCCTCTGCCTCCTGAGAGCAGGTGAGTCCTGGGCCCAGGTGACATGATCCTGTTGGAGTCCCTAAGCCTTTTCACCATGACGACAGCAGCCTCCCTCCTGGGATTTGTCTGAATTCTGCTCTTTTCCTTTGCAGGTCCCTCGGACTCAGCCATTTCCCAGACTCCAAAATACCTGGTCACGCAGATAGGAAAGGAGGAGTCCCTTAAATGTAACCAAAATCTGGGCCATGATGCTATGTATTGGTATAAGCAGGACTCTAAAAAACTTCTGAAGATAATGTTTATCTACAATAATAAGGAGCTCATTTTAAATGAAACAGTTCCAAATCGCTTCTCCCCTGAGTCTCCAGACAAAACTCATTTAAATCTTCACATCGAGTCCTTGGAGCTTGGTGACTCTGCTGTGTATTTCTGTGCCAGCAGTTAAGACACAGCCCTGCAGAGTCACTGCATCCCTGTACACAAACCTCCCGGCTCAGCCAGGAAACTGTGGTGCAGTGTGTGCCCCTGCACCCAGGGCTCCAGTCTCCATTCCCTGATGGCCTCTGATGGAGTTTCAGTCTGTAGTGCAGCCTGCCAGTGCACCCAGTGGAGAAGTCCTCCGTTTTATGCACAGCGAAGTCTCAGAATTGTTTATCAGCTAGAGCAGCGCTTCACAAAAAAGCCACTAAAGTATTAGGGCTCCGCAAACAAAACAGAAGCCTGCCCCATGCGCTGAAGGTCTTAATTGATGGAGGAAGCCATTTCTTGACTTTCTGCACTGCACACATTTGTACATATTTTATATAACGTTATAATGAAAAGCACACTGTTGCTAAAAATGATCGATGAGCACAAACATAAAGGAGAGCGGAAGGGAAATATTCCTAAGATCAAGAGAGTTCTGTTGCTCAGTAAGTACTCTGTTTAATGGAAAAATATTTTGAGAAGCATGAAATTCCATGGCAATAGGTAAACTGGAAAGTGCTGGGGAGAAGCCAATGGAGACAGGCCTGTGCACTCCTTCTCTTCAAGGAGGGTGACCAGCAAGAATCCCTCCCAATTGTGATGAATGTCATCTTGAATTCTCCTCCAGAGCAGGCAACAGCGAGATGACAGGGATATTGGGAGACATGGAAAGGACTTTGAACGCAAATCTCTAAGCAGTGATGAGCCATTGGTCCTATCCCAAGTGAAACAACATGATGAAACTGATACTTTGGTACAGTAACACTGGTCGTAGTATGGATCAGAAAGGAGATAGATTTTTGGGTGGCATGAATGATTAGGAGACTTCTAAATATCCTACATGAAAGATTAGAAAGGGTTTATGTGAAGCATTGTGGATGACACAGGCTTGAGGCTCTGCATTATGTTACCTCCCAAAAATAGTGTTGGTTTTTTTTTTTTTTCTGGGAAGATTGAAGGTAGGGTTTATTTCAGCTTTGCCCTCCCTCTTAGGGAGCTCCAGCATGTGATCATCATTGCTAGTGCATGGCCTTTCCAGGGTCTTAGTGGGAATCACAGCGTACCCACCATGACTCTCCACTGTCACTGGGTCTGAATGCCAATGCCTTCTGGCCTTGGATAACTTCAGCCTTCCCTGCCATGTCTTAAGCCTTCTAGAATTTGTTCTCTGCTGGGCCTTCTGGAGTCCCACCCTCTGCATACACAGCTTAGGAGCTGGCCCAGAAAAACAAAAAGGATTTTCTTACACAATTACAATTATCATCACAAAATGGTAATACTGATGTAATACAAAAATAAATAGATGGTAAAAATCACTTAGAAAGTGTGAATCATTTAATTTGTGTGTTTGCTTGTGTTCATTTGTGTCTTCAAATGTTCTAGAATGGAAAGTCAGTATTGGCATAACAGTACATTTTAAGAAAATTGATGCCATGCCAATAACTAAATGGTCACAAAGCATAAAGAGCTTATGCAGTGAAGTAGAAATGACCCATAGGAAGTCATACAGCTGGTTCCGAGTTGGAAAATTCTCCACAGAACTGACCTGATGTGGTTTCTGACATTTTAGAAATGGCAGGGCTTTGGAGACCATTTCATTTCAGCTCCCTTTATTTAATATATGAGGAAATATGGCATCACATGTATGAAGTGATTGAACACTGACATACTGATTACATTCTTAAACTTCCTGTGAGACACATTTTAATTCTCTAGCTGTTGTCTGAATATGTTTAATTTCCCTACTCAGATAGAATTCTGGGGATGAAAGTGTTGGTGATTTTTGCTTGCTCCTAGCTATTGCTCAAGGAGTATTGTTGAACAAGTCAGACTGGTCCATAAGCTCCAGAGGGCTGGGATAGTATCTGTTATGCTTATTACTAGGGGTCCAGACATAGACAATTTATTTTCTTTGCCTTTACTTGTTCTTCACGGGGCAGGGTTGGGGGCGGTTTCTTGCTCTGTCTGGAGTGCAGTGATGCAATCACAGCCCACTACAGCCTTGATTGCCCTGGCTCAAGCCATCCTCCCACCTTAGTTTCCTGAGTAGCTGGGACTACAGGCAGGCACCACCACATCTGGCTAAGTTTTGGTAATTTTTGGTAGAGATAAGGTGTTGCCATGATACACAGACTCAGACATAGACAATTTCTGTTGAATAAAAAATTAGAATGTCCTAGGTGCGTGCATGCCTGATGTTCTGGCTGCTGACTCTCTGTGTTGTTGCCATCACCTCCTTCCTCTTCATTCCCTCCTGGCCTTTCAAATCCATCCCTGCTGCTCAGTTTTGTGGAGTGTGGAACCAGCCTGGATGCTGACACTGGGTTGGTGAGTGGCCAAGTGCTGCTTTGGCCACAGGGAGGAGCTGTGCTCTGGTGAAACCTCTGAGTCTGGGACCTGGGGAAGGGATGGAGATGGGCCAGGGAGGATCTTGCCCATGGGGAGCCATCCAGACCTCAACCCGGAGCACGACTGTACTCACCTCTGACACACAACATCAGCTTCAAGCTGACTTCCCTTTCCCTTGCACCACACACCTTGTGTTGTTCTTTTCCAGCATCCTGTGTATGTTAACTCTAACCCAGCCAAGCCCCATGCCCTCCACTTCAGGGAGAGGGTGGCTCATCCCTTTCCTGCTGCCTCAGCTCCTTGCCAGTGCCTGGTTGCTGGCTAGCATCATAGTCATGCCCTTTCCATGGGGCATACATTTCTAAATACAGTTTAATTTATAATACTATAAATTAATATATGTTATATATTAATATTACAAATTATATAAATTAATATTATAAACCCTCCTTATTCCCAATGTGTTAAATCATCAGCCTCTGAGCCTGACGCCTCTAGAACACAGCTCTACATTAGCCTTTAGAGAGGAGAGTGGGTCCTGGCTGTTCTGTTTCCGTCTTTTTGCATTCACCAAATCAATCATTCATTTATTATAGAGACAAAAGATTCCCCACCCCAAGATATATGGTCATCTGTGCTTTACCAAAAAATGTTTTGAATGGTGGGCACTGGTCCACACTGCATCCGTGGTCATGCATTCATCCCCCCTCCCCAGAGCCGGGCAAAAAGGGCTCCACCATGCTTAGACGTTGAGGGAAGGGGCGTTTTGAAAGGCGCTGTCTCCTGTGACCCCACAGGGGAGAAGGAGATTCCTTGAATGGGAGTGGTCTGCTGCTGGGAGGGGTCCTGAAAGGCAGGGGAACAGAGATAGAGAGAGAAGCTACATAATGAGGAAGGAGCTGAGAGCAAAGGAGCCCCTGTCAGAGGAATATCCTTGGGAAATAAAAGGCTGACTCTGCCCTTTCTGCCCAGGACATTCATCCCAACCCAGCCAATTCATACCTACCTTCTGTCAGAACTTAGAAAGGATGCGAAGCGATCAGGAAGAACCAGCCCCTGGGCCTGGGGAAACTGTCAGGAGCAGTGACATCACAGGAAAAACCACCAACCAGGGCCAAGGAGACCAGAGCCCANTGCTCTGGTGAAACCTCTGAGTCTGGGACCTGGGGAAGGGATGGAGATGGGCCAGGGAGGATCTTGCCCATGGGGAGCCATCCAGACCTCAACCCAGAGCATGGCTGTACTCACTCTAGCACACAACATCAGCTTCAAGCTGACTTCCCTTTCTCTTGCTCCACACACCTTGTGTTGTTCTTTCTCATCATCCTGTGTATGTTAACTCTGACCCAGCCAAGCCCCATGCCCTCCACCTCAGGGAGAGAGGGTGGCTCATCCCTTTCCTGTTGCCTCAGCTCCCTGCCAGTGCCTGGTTGCCGGTTTGCATCATAGTCATGCCCTTTCCGTGGGGCATACATTTCTAAATATAGTTCAATTTATAATATTATAAATTAATATATGTTATATATTAATATTACAAATTGTATAAATTAATATTATAAACCCTCCTTATTCCCAATGTGTTAAATCATCAGTCTCTGAGCCTGATGCCTCTAGAGCGCAGTTCTACATTAGCCTTTAGGGAGGAGAGTGGGTCCTGGCTGTTCTGTTTCCGTCTTTTTGCATTCACCAATTCAATCATTCATTTATTATAGAGACAAAAGATTCCCTAGCCCAAGATATATGGTCATCTGTGCTTTACCAAAAAATGTTTTGAATGGTGGGCGCTGGTCCACACTGCATCCGTGGTCATGCAGTCATCCTCCCTCCACAGAGCTGGGCAAAAAGGGCTCCACCATGCTTAGACGTTGAGGGAAGGGACCTTTTGAAAGGCGCTGTCTCCTGTGACCCCACAGGGGAGAAGGAGATTCCTTGAATGGGAGTGGTCTGCTGCTGGGAGGGGTCCTGAAAGGCAGGAGGACAGAGATAGAGGGAGAAGCTACATAATGAGGAAGGAGCTGAGAGCAAAGGAGCCCCTGTCAGAGGAATATCCTTGGGAAATAAAAGGCTGGCTCTGCCCTTTCTGCCCAGGCCATTCATCTCAACCCAGCCAATTCATACCTACCTTCTGTCAGAACTTAGAAGGGATGCAAAGCAATCAGGAAGAACCAGCCCCTGGGCCTGGGGAAACTGTCAGGAGCAGTGACATCACAGGAAAAACCACCAACCAGGGCCAAGGAGACCAGAGCCCAGCCCCTCGCCCAGAGGATCTCAGTCAGAGGCCCCATTTCAGACCCCAGGCTAGCATGGGCTGCAGGCTGCTCTGCTGTGCGCTGCTCTGCCTCCTGGGAGCAGGTGAGTTGGGTTCAAATTGCCTGTCCTTGAACTCCAAGCTTTTTCCTTATGGCTGCAGCAACAACCCTCCTCCTGGGCTCTGCCTGAATGTTGTCCCTTTTCCCCCACAGTCCCCATGGACACCGGAGTTACCCAGACACCAAAACACCTGGTCATGGGAATGACAAATGAGAAGTCTTTGAAATGTGAACAACACCTGGGGCACAATGCTATGTACTGGTACAAGCAGAAAGCTAAGACGCCACCAGAGCTCATGTTTGTGTGCAGCTATAAGGAAACCTCTGTAAATGAAAGTGTGCCCAGTCGCTTCTCACCTGACTGCTCCGACAGCTCTCAGTTATACCTTCACCTACACGCCATGCAGCCAGAAGACTCGGCCCTGTATCTCTGTGCCAGCAGCCAAGACACAGCCTTGCAGAGTCACTGTCTCCCTGTGCAGAAACCTTTGGGGCCTGGCAGGAAGCTGTGGGGAGCACGGAGGGCTTGGGTGACCACTTCCTGCAAGAGCCCCAACAGAAGCTTCAGAACATCATAGCACCTGCTAATTCATCTATGTGGCAACTTTATATGCTATGCATATATTTAGAGTGTGGGTTTTCTTTTGCCTGAGTGAGACTCTGCCCTGTCAACTGATTTTTTAAAAATATAAACATATTTAGATCTAGTTTTCTTCAAATGCTTTTTAAAATCATGAAATAGGCTAAGCAGGGTGGCTCATGCCTGTAACCCCAGCACTTTGGGAGGCCAAGACGAGCGGATCACAAGGTCAGGGGTTTGAGACCAGCCTGGTCAATAACCCTGTTTCTGCTACAAATACAAAAATTAGCTAGGTGTGGTGGTGCACACCTTTAGTCTCAGCCACTTGGGAGGCTGAGGCAGGAGAATCACTTGAACCCGGGAGGCAGATGTTGTAGTGAGCCAGGATCATGCAACTGCACTCCAGCCTGGGCAACAGAGCAAGATTCAGTCTAAAAATAAATAAATTAAATTAAATTAAAATTAAAATACAATAAATGAAATAAAGCAAGCATGCTGTAAGAATGATTGTTTAGCTTAAGATTTTTATAAGAATCCACTCAACAATCACCTGTGTCACCACAGAGTTACACCTTGCACTGGGCCAGACACCGTCCTGTGAAAAGCTGTGTTCTCCTGACACTTCATGTCCCGTGGCTTCCACGACTCTTCTTTGGGTCCTCTGTGAATAAAGGCTGTTTAACATCATCGCCTACCCACTGTGTGCTTTGCTGGGATCTCCATGGCCATGTTGGATAGAAAGGATGAGAATGGGTGTCCTGGTCTTCTTCTTAATCTTAGGGAAAAAGCATCCAGTCATTTTTCAGTTTTTGATCATTAAGTATGATATTAACTGTAGATGTTCCATGAATGCCTTTTATCAGGTAGAGAACATTTTTTTTGTTGTTCCTAGTTTGCTAAGAGTTTTTAATCAGAATGTTGAATTTTTTAACAATATTTTTTCTGTATCTATTAAGATGATTATAAAAAATTTAATCTTTCCAACTTTTATTTTAGTTTTAAGGGGTACATGTCCAGGTTTGTTACATAGATAAATTGCATGTCATGGGGATTTGGCATACAGATAATTTTGTCACCCAAGTCACCAGCTTAATACCCAATTGGTAGTTTTTCCATCCTCACCCTCCTCTCACCCTCAAACTTCAAGCCTCAGTGTTTACTGTTCCTTTGTTTGTGTCTATGTGTGCTCAATGTTTAGCTCCCACTTATAAGTGAGAACACGTGTGGTGTCTGGATTTCTGTTCCTGGATTAATTCACTTAGGATAATGTCCCCCAACTCTATCCATGTTGCTGAAATGAACATGATTTTGTTCTTTTTATGGATGCATAGTATCTCCAGTCCACATTGATGGGTATTTAGGTTGATTCTATGTCTTTGCTATTGTGAATACTACTGCATCAAACATATATGTGCATGTATGCTTATGATAGAATGATCTGTATTTCTTTGGGTATATAACCAGTAATTGGATTGCTGGGTCAAATGGTAGGTTTTTTTCAGTTCTTTGAAAAATCTCCATACTGCTTTCTACAGTGGTTGAACTAATTTACATTCCCACCAATGGTGCGTGAGTTTTCCATTTCCTCTGCAATCTTGCCAGCATCTGGTATATTTTGACTTTTTATTAATAGTTATTCTAACTAGTGTGAGATGTATCTCACTGTGGTTTTCATTTGCATTTTTCCTAATGATTAGTTATAATGAACATTTGTTATATGCTTGTTGGCTGCATGTATGTCTGCTTTTGAAAAGTGTCTATTCTTGTCCTTTGCCCATTTTTTAATAGAGATGTTTGTTTTTTGCTTGTTAATTTGTTCAACCTTCTTATAATCAAGTTATATTTTCTGGGGTTGCGTTCATTATGTTTTCCTCTAAACTTTCTATCTCTGTAAGAATTAAGATAGTGGAACCTTCCCTGTTTTTTTTGAAACAGGGTCTTGCTCTGTCACCCAGGCTGGAGCACAGTGGTGCCACTTGTTTATATCCATAAAATTTAACTGGTTTATATCTATGAATATTCCCTCAGTAGGGTATTTTTGTCCTCTGGAGGGCATCTTGGAAAGGTACTGGTCATTGATCATAGCTAATTGGCACATTGGCTAGTGACCGCTGATGTCACATGCAGCTGGACTGGAATCTCTTTTCATTGATTTCTCACGGGGTCGTTTGCCTTTGGACTTAAAAATTAAGAAAATACATCATATGACAACATCTAGATTTGCTCTATATATGTAACTATTCTTAAAATATGATAAAAGATATGTCAAAAGTAGATATTTAAAGAAATTTGGATTGGAAATAAAGTAAATCAGAAGTAACAACTGAAGGATAGTGGTTCTGCAATGGAATCTTTCTCAGATTCTGTTTTCCCAAGTCTCATGTTTCTTTTTAAACCCAGTCTGGCCTCTCCTTCTTAGCTTACTATAGAACCACAAATAAAAACTTATAAATTTAATTGTTATCTGCACATATCTTTACTCATATATGGAAAAATGGGCAATAGGATATTGTCAGTGAACTCAGGTAAAAAGAGAATTTCTAAAAGAGGGAGGATAGATGGGAAAGAAACAAATTCCCCAGCAGTATGGGAACAGTGGGTATTGTTTTCTTTACTTCTGGGTAAGCTGATTAGTGGGCATGTAGCACAGAGTGGTCTGAGAGGTCTGCTTCGAGCACGCTGGCTGGAGTCATCACAGAAAAAAGAACTTTAATGATAAATCATCCACAAATCCCTGAGAGCGTGCCTGCAGTGAGGGAGACAGGACGATGTGGTGTGATTTCTGGCACAGTTCTTCCTGCAGCAGATCTGCCTGAGCTAGGCCAGATTTGCATCATTTCTGTCTTCAGAATTTTCTCAAGGGCAAAATTTCTTTTCTATCACCTTTTTTCTCTTACAATGCAAAAAGTGATCTTGAAGAAGATAAATTTCAAAATGTGAAGGCTTCTTTTAGTTTCTCTCAAAAAACAGTAGAATAGGCAAGATGGTGAAATAGTTCCTAATTTAAACATGTCCCATGTCCCTTCTACCATGTCGGAAAGGCTGTATCCATCAGCTCAGAGAGCCAGAGCACATAGAATAGACTGCATGGGTTAAACACAAATCTTTTTTTCTTTTTCATAACTCCAGAGCATAAAATGGGGGTGCCAGCATGTGGGGCTCTGGTGAGGGCCCTCCTTCTGGCTTGCAGAGCACCTTCTTCTGGTTGAATTCTCACATGGTGGAGAGGGAACAAGCCAGCCAACAGATGTCTCATCTCAGAGGGCACTAATCATACTGGATCAGGGCTCCACTTGTATAAGCTCATGTAAACATGATTTCCTCTATAAAGACCCTATCATCAAATATGGTCTCCCTAGGGGTTGTATTTTGGGGCGACATAAGTATCCAGTCCATTAACAATAGCAAAATCTTGGTTACTGTGCAGTGGGCCACACAGGGGTGCTGGAATCACTGAGCTCCCCATGTCTCTGGGGTGTGCACAGAGCCAGCAGCCTGGGACACAGAGGGTTAAGGTGCAGCCTTGCTTGATATTCACTAGAAGGTGCAATGACATATACATAAAATTGCAGCTGTGCTTCCCATCAGGGAGCCATGCACTTCAGCTATGCAGGCGTTGGGAAGTCTCTGTGAGCTTGCAAAGGAGAATAAAGTTGGGATGTCCCTGCTGGGATGGGACAACCTGCATGCCCTGGGCAGGGACAGAGAGATAAACAACTGCCTGTGAAATCAAAAGCAAAGGACCTGTGGGAGGGACTTGCAGCCTCACCTCAGCTCAGGTTAGAGCAGCCCAGTTCAGCCCTATGTGGTATGTGAGGGTATTCACAGCGAAAAGCAGGGGTCCTGGATCAGGTAAGCTAGGGACCTAACAAAGGAGGGAGGGTGCATGGGAACCTGCAGGGACTATGACATCAGAGCAGTGACATCACAGCCTAACATCCTATCAGAGATGTGATGCCCAAAACCCCAGCTCTCAGGGAACCCCTAGCAGGGTGACACCTGCCCAGCTCTTTCCCACCCAGCATGGGCTCCCGGTGCCTCTGATGGAAAGGACTTTGTCTCCTGGGAGCCAGCAAGTCCTTGGTACCAAGACCAGGTCTGCCGTAGAGACCCCACCCAGGCGGCACTGAAGGCATTAAGATGAAGACACCCAGGTAGAACAGCAAAGTGGGACTATCCTGGGGCCAACCTCCTTCTGAGCTGAGGGCCTCGGGGGGCTGACAGCATTCCAGACTGAGGGCCTTGAGCAGACTCTGACCCACATAGTTATTCTCTCTGAACAGGTGATTATTATTAACAAACAGGTGTTCTGTGTTTTCTCATAGAACCTAGGTAGGCAACTGGTGCCTCCTTACCACTAATGAAGGACAAACTAAAAAATATTCTCCATGAGGGAGCCATGGGAGCAGGGTCACATATCCCTTGCTTAAAGAATTGTTTTAACTGGTGTATAATATATATATATATATATTTTTTTTGCTTGCCATCATTCTTCTTAGCAAACAATATATTTTATCATACACTCAGCATTTCTCAGCATCTAGGCACAGGTGGGATGTCTCTGGAGCACGCCTCATCCAAGGCACCCTCAGGGTCCCTCCTGTGTTCTTTCTCCAGCCTCTCTCTCCCTCCCTCAAAGGCACAGTGGATTCTGCTGTACAGAACAGGGAGCACTGCATCTCAGGAAGCCTGCAAGGGAAGGACACAGGACAATTACATCACAGGATACCCCTCCCATCAGGAAAAGTGAGGCTGAGAACTCAGCTCCTCCCCAGGAGGACCGAGCCCTGAGCACAGGCAGAGTGTTGCCTGACCCTTCGTGCCATGGGCTTCAGGCTGCTCTGTTGGGTGCTGCTTTGTCTCCCGGGAGCAGGTGAGTCCCTGCAGACAGGACAGCACCCCCATTCTGAGCTTGCCCCCACCCCTGTGTCCTCCACTTTACCTTGGGGAGGAGGTACCACCAGGCTGTCTCCTGTGCTCATTTTCCATCTGCTTTTCCCACAGGCCTGGGAGAGGCTCAAGTCACCCAAACTCCAAGACACCTGATCAAAATGAGAGGACAGCAAGTGACACTGAGGTGCTCCCCTATCTCTGGGCATAACAGTGTGTACTGGTACCAACAGGCCCCAGGACAGGGCCCTCAGTTCATCTTTGAATACTACAATGCGATGCCGAGACAACAGGGAAACTTCCCTGCTCGATTCTCAGGGCTCCAGTTCTCTAACTATAGCTCTGAGATGAATGTGAGCGCCTTGGAGCTGGGGGACTCGGCCCTTTATCTTTGTGCCAGCAGCTTGGCACAGCCCTACAAAGCCAACCACATTCTGTGCACAAACCTCCCTGGCCCAATGTGGAGCAACCTCAGCCCTGACGTATCTGTGAGAATCTGGGGACTGCAGGGGGAAAGAAAGGTAATTTAGGATGCTAGGACCCACAGCCTGGGGCTTTCTGCTATTCAGGGCTGGGGGAAACAAGGCCAAGAGGGGCTGCTCAGAGGATGACGCTGCTTCTGTAGGTTGACTGCAGAATTACCTTCTCTGCCGACACGGTAAACTACAGGGTAGAGGACATGTTTGTAATTTAACAGCTGACACACTCTTTTTCAGGACAAGGGATCTCATTTTGCGGTCAAGATTGTTGATAACAGCATAGTGTAGAAGGGAGAATCACAGGGTTTGCTTTATACAACTGAAATTGAGATTTGGGGAAAGTCAAGGAGAGAGAAAACGAAAGATGACTGAAAATAGAGAGAGAGCAGACGATGATGAAAAGTGGTGTTCTTTGTGCCATGAACTCTCTGTCCCCTCCTCCCAAAGTTTTCAATACCTATAAAATACAAGGTAAAGAGTTTTCTAGCAACTGGAATCACCTGGTAGCCAGTCCCAGTAGGGGACATCATCAAAAAGCCACCTGCCTGGTGTGAGAGCCCTGGCTTTCCTTCTAATGTCTTCCTTCTTCTGGCCCTAATCTTGACTCCTCAGGGCACAGTCAGGTACTTTCCAAAACATAGAGGAAGGTAAAATCACCCTTGTTCCTAAAGGAGCACATACTCTCCAGTTTCCCCTCAAATAAATTCTGCTTCTCTGGATCCCTTCCTGACACTCACCTCCCAAATCCAATTACCTTCTATGATCAAATGCTCTTTGAACATTTTCTAAAACTCAGCAGCTTTTACATCCTCGGCATTTTTCCTATTTCCATGCCTGGGAGAATCTTTGTTTTCCTAATACAGCACCAGAAACTGATCACGTGTCAAGGACTGGCTCACACCTGCCTTCCTTTTCACCTCTTACTGTGACATCCCTGGGATTCTACTATATCACTCCCTTTTCTTTATTTTCGTAGGAAAAGCCAGGCATATAATTGATACCCTTTGATGTTTGTAAAATTAATAAGTTATTGCCCACTTACAGAGAATCCTGGAGTGTGATTAATTACTGTCTTCTCGTTACAAGGGACTCCACTTGAAATATCATGGAAAATGATTATGACAAGTCTTAGTATTTCATATAACTTCTGTAATATTCTAGCAACTGTGTCTTCACAGTCAGGATTGATGACCAGTCCTGTCAAGTTCCCGAAGGATAGCTAATGCTGGAATTTGCAAATGTTCTTTTGGAGTGAAGAAAATTACGTTATTTGTGCTGACTGAAGAATCACTGAAGAAAGGAAATTATGGTATAGTAATATTTGTAAAAACTCATAATCCTGTAAAACAAAACTTCCTCACCATAACCACACCTTCCATAACCACATTTTTAGTGATTTGGTGAAGATAGAATATCATCAAAGGTGCTTCTTAATCACCCTTGATGAAATCAACCTAAAGCATTGAAAACAAAAAACTAGCTTTGCTCAGTAATGAAATGTTATCATCCTTGACAATGAAAAGGTATTATATGTTTGTAAGTGTGTGTGTGTTTGTGAGTGTGAATGTGTGTTTTATGGAGATTTGGTGAGGGTGGAATATCATGAAAAGTACTTCTTAATTACCCTCCATAAAATCAGCCAAAATCAACCTAAAACATTGGGAAAAAAAAAAAAAACTAGCTTTGCTCAGTAATAGAATCTTAACATTCTTGACAATGAAAAGGCATTATGTGTTTGTGAGTGTGTGTGTGTTTGTGAGTGTGAATGTGTGTTTTATAGAGATTTGGTGAAGGTGGAATATAATCAAAGGTGTTTCTTAATCACCCTTGATGAAATCAACCTAAAACATTGGAAAAAAAAAAAAAAAAGCTAGCTTTGCTCAGTAATGGAATCTTATCATCGTTGACAATGGAAAGATATTATGTGTTTGTGAGTGTGTGTGTTTGTGAATGTGAATGTATGTGTGTGTTTTCTTGTGGATACTACTCACATAGAAATAGTTTCTCCACAGGTAATACTTTATGAGGTGCTGGTTCACTGACAGAGCTTCTAGGCACTTCTAGGTAAGGGTGGGAAAGAGCAGACCTAACTGAATCTGCTTAGTTATACCTGATAGGATAGTTTATTTCAAGATTTTATAAATTCAGAAATAAATTTGTAAAATTGAAAAAGCCCCTTTATAGAATGTGCTAACTAAAATTTGTGAATAAGCTAAATACAATATGTGAAAATATGTGGGTCTGATTAATCAAAGTGAGCTCTGCAATGTAGTGTTTTCAGCCCAGATTGGCTTCATATCCTTACACTGTTTCATTCTGTGGCCTCTATAATTCTGGCTCCTCTCTTCCATCTTAGGATGTTTATTGCAATTATGTAACAGTAATTTCTCGTGCAATCAAGATGTGCCTTTTGTCTCCACTTGCCAAGGGTGAATTTGAAGTTCCACCCTAAATCAACCCTTTTGGAAAAGCAGCACAGAAGTTATGTGTGAGAGGGTGGGGGTTGCAGGGATTGGAGTGGGGGCATCTCTGTTCTTGACTTGGACAATCTTGAGCTCCTCAGGTCAGATGTGAATCCATGGGACTGGGGAATATTGGCCACTTGGAGGCGCTGTGGCTCCACAATGCTGCAGGGAACCCTGGGGAGGGCTGGTTAAGTTTAGTTTAGCGTTTGTTTGGTTTTTTTTAATTTTCTTATCTATAAAATGAGACTAACACTCTCCATCTGCAGAGTTGTGTCCAAAATTTAACACCATAAAATATTTAGCATATAGTGGAAATCTAGCTATTTTGATTTCCTTTGCTAATCTCAGACAGCCTGTTCACTGCATCAATGCCCAAAGGTAGATAAAGACACATTTTGCCTGGAAATGTTAGGTTGAGGACTCAGGAAGTCACAGTATGGAAACATATATGCATGATGATTACTTTGACAGTATTAACTAGAGAATGTAGCATATATCTCTCCTCAGGCATTTAAAATTCAGTATTATGGATATATAAATTATATAAACATTACACATTTTAAATAAGCAGATCAGTGATTTTTGAGTGATGTACATACACATGCAACCTCATCTCTACTGAGATGTAGAGCATCTTCATCACCCAGAAAATTCCGTCATGCTCTGTTGCCATGTTTCTCTCCATCTCCAACAAGCACTGATGTGATTTTCATCACCGTAGAGTAGTTTTTTTTAAGGAACATTTCTAGTGGAACTGCAAAAACTCTACTGCCTAATCCTCTTTAATACATAACTAATTAGTTAACAGGATGAGGAGCTCCTGAAACACTGTATGGTTTTAAAAGGGGTTGGAGCCAAGAGCTACCAGATCCACGTTGGAGACAGTTCTGTCTGGAGCTGGATGTTGTGAAGAAACAAACTCAAAAGGTCTTCCAAGCCGGTACAGGCGGACTCTACGAAGTTTATGTATTCATTTGCATTCATTTCTTATCTGCCCATTCACTCCAATTATTTTATGACGATATTTTAACAAAAATTAATCATCTTTAAGGGAAATGTCTTGAGTTTTATCAGACACATATGCAGCTGAGCTTTGTGATCACACGCTGAGTGTCCTGGGGCCAAACAAAAAACAGTAATAGTGACCTTGTTGAGAGATGATGTCACATTGGAAGAAAGGTCCTCTTTGTGTTGACCCTAAGTGTCCAGTTCATCAAATCTAAGCCTTCAGCGACAAAATCCCCTTTTCTGTCCTGGGAACCAGGCTCCTATCCTGTGTGTTTGTCTCCTGGTCCAGCAGGGACATAGACGTGGCACCCACTCATGAACTTGTTGGATCCTGGCTGTGACTTTTAGCGCCAGGTGGCCCTTTGCTCTGACTTTAATTTCTGCGTCCTTCTCTCCTAAACCCCGTAGATGGTGAGTGACTCGGGCTCTAGTCATGTGCTTGTGCGAAAAGGAAACCAGCATAAGCAGAGGTAAGCAGAATAGGAAACAAACCACGTACTCAGGATCAGCAGCGTGACTGACTGGCAGATCCTTTGTTCAAATATCGCAAGGAACTTGAAGATCATGACAATGTGACAGCAATGCGGGTCCTTTTAAGTGTGGGGCTCTGTGCACTAAGATACAAGTTCTGACCTTTTTTAAAAAAAATTATTACGAATTAGCGGTGAGAATCCTGACCAAGGGAATATTCCCTATGAAATATAACATTTCAAATAAAATGAGAGCACTTTTTCTTATCCCGGAGCCTGCTTCCTCTCTCCTCTCCCACATCAGGACCCCTTTGTGCCCATAAGTCATGGGCAGCACTGGGCGGCCACCATCGTCCACAGAGGGCAATCACCAGCATGAAGTGGTCCTGCCTGATATGGTCTTGCCCCAGGCACAGAAAGTAAGAACCCTGGTGGAGCTGAAGGTGCTCAGCTGGGCTTGTCAGGAGTCCCATCTGTCAGTGAATTGACAAGAAACAGAGCAAAACGACTCCTCCAATGTTGATGAGCCTGCCCCTGGGATTTGGAGACCTGATAACAGAGACAACCAAGATAGGCACAGGACTTCAACAGGATTATGGTCAATTAAGCAAATTAGAAAAGGATACTTGAAGGGGTATCTGGGACACAGGAGTCAAAAACACCAGGAAGACATGAGGATTTTCCCTAAGAGTCTAAATTACAGAAATGTTTAGATAACTAACACCAGTGTATGAATGAGGAATTATATTATCACAGGGATAAAATTTACATTGAGTTACAGACTGTTAACAAAAAGGTTAAGAAAAACTTGTAAGGCTGTGTCAGTTCAGACAAAGGCATTCTTCCCATCCAAACTGTTCACTTTATCTTGAATTTGACCATCTGGAGAAAAGGCGGGGCCTCTCCTGACAGGAAGGTACTGGGGCCCAGGCAGGGAGAATGAGGTCTCAGAATGACTCCCTTGAGAGCCCTGTTCCCCGTTCATCAACATACAGACCCAGAAGACTTCATCCTGCAGCAGCTGCCATGAACATTGCCCTCCTGTGCTGTGCAGCCTTTTGTCTCCTGTGGGCAGGTGGGTCCTGGGCAGGGCCCCTTGCATGGATTTCAAGGCCCAGCGCCTCACCACTGGGGCTGCAGCATCAGCTTTGTTCTCCTCTGCAGGTCCAGTGACTGCTGGTGTCACTCAGACCCCAAAATTTCAGGTCCTGAAGACACGACAGAGCATGACACTGCAGTGTACCCAGGATATGAACCATGACTACATGTACTGGTATCGACAAGACCCAGGCATGGGGCTGAGGCTGATTCATTACTCAGCTGGTGAAGATACCACTGCCAAAGG